CAAGCTCACCCTCCTTACCAAATTAATAGTAGACAAACCTGTCTCATTGGGAAAAGTCATTTAGCAGGAATAAGGAAAGTAGAGCAAACATTGGAAAGTTACTAGGAATAAGAAACATTTTCCTTTGAAAGGACAAAGCAAGTGATTTGAGGGAATGTGAAGATAAAAGGTGGACTCCATGGGAGAATGGAAGGAATTAAGTGATGGTTGTAATATGTGAAGGGAAATCTTGTTTTAGAAATGACACCTTGTTTCTTTGCAGCCTCTTCCTTAAGCACTGTGCAAACGATCTATGCAAAGAAACAATCAAATGTAATTGTTTTGTCTATGAACACCTTTGTTAAATCTGCAAAGGAAAATTAAGGATTCTACTGAAACTTAATTGGTTAACTGCATAAAGAATGAGCTCTATATATTGTAACTCTATTTTGTGGATTTCAAATCATGTTTGACCAGGATGGGATGTGCTTGGTTACCTACATGCCATCACACCTTGCCTAGTGGAAATTGTGCAATGCTATGGCTTTAACTCAAATGCTGTGGTTTCAGTATTGATGGTTTCAGCTGAGTTCCTCTGAGTTTTGAGCTGTTTGAATTGGAAACTCAAAAGACACAACTATGGAGAATAAAATTTCAAGCCCTCACCACAAACAATGGCATCTGCAGATGTTTAAAAAGGTGCCGGTACAACAGGGGAAAAGTTGTTGAGCTCTGACTGAAGGTGCTGGTACTGCATCCGGAGGTGCCGGTACTGTATATCTGGCAGTACTATCACAAAAAAAGCACTGGTGTTTCTACTTTAGCCTCCATTTCTTTCTGTGTCTTTTGTTTCCTTGGTGTTTGACTCTCAGAATTCTACCTCGTCTGCTAGTATCACATCAATGTCACACTCTTTAGACAGATGAGATGGTTCCGTCTCAGGACGTAAAAGGATCTGCAACTTGTTAGGTCCTATGTTGCCTGATGATAAATTGTTACTAGCTCGTAACAAATGTTAAGGTGGGACACTTTCTCTAAATGCATCAATAAACTATTCCTTCCTTAGAAATGGGGAGAATTAAGGACGACACAACAGAAACTGAATAGGTATCAATGTGAAATGTGCTCCATCAGCCTAATTAGAGAGATCCCTGGTACAGTCCCAGAATGTTCCAACAGACAATTCTGATGTGGTCTCATTATGGCAAATGGGACAGAACCAATGATGATAAGATTTATTTGTGACCTGAAATGCACGCTCATCCCAATGCCTCTCACATGATTCCTAATGGAATCATGTCCTGAAAAGAGTAGAATATTTATTGGAAAATATCTCATGATGGGACAGGGTTGATCCATTTACAAAACTCACATGAAGAGCTAGCAGAGATTGATAGGATGGTATTAAATTGCTTTAATAGATCATCTCAAAGAATCATGAGGGACAGCTGCTCCTCAGCTTCAGAGCTTTTATGTTGCATGTTACAGGGATCAATTCTGTCTTCTTACCCACACTTCTTTTAACACCTATCATGTATGAAATCTATTGGAGTAGTGGTGAGACACAACAGACTCAAAGCTGACTATGTTCAGCTATATAATTTCAGAGGACTTGATCAATAAAATGTTCTTTACTGCAAGAAGTCAGCACCAGGATTTAAAACATCTGCTCAAGCTTTGCCCAGGAAAGACAGAACTGATGCCAAAAGGAAGGGTCATACACCTTGAGAAGCTATCCAAGACCTTGACTGCACTATCAGTCCAGGAAATCCATCCTCCAAACAGGAGTGTGAGTTCAGTGTAGCTGGGGATTGAGCTCCATGTGTGAGCAGCTGAACCCAAGGATGCAAGAGCAAAACAAAGGAGGAGTTCAAGTTTATGCTTCTATATATTTTGGAATTCTACCTTGGAGCCTAGGTATTACAGTTATGAATGGCTTATAGATATAGTACACAAGTAGCTTTCCTGTCACAAAAGCTGCCTCATACTTGGCTATTTCAATCAATCTGCTGGCAACCAGCCTTAGGTCAAACCAAATTCAAACTATTTTTGATGAGACTGGTTGACTTGGAAAGACAGATGCTTAACATCTCTTTGTGCCCTTACAACGAAGTCCTTTGGCCCTTCATTCTCCTCCTTTTTTTGCTTTCTCGTGTAATGAACTATGCTCTGTTTCCCTCTTCCTGAACCACCAGACCTACCTATCTGCTCATTCCTCTTTCCAGCCCACAAAAACATTAAATTGTTGCTACTTTTTAATGTATCTTAAAAAATGAAATGGGAGAGCCTTCTGCAGAAATAGATTATCATAACTCACAGAAGACTTGTGACAGTTCACACCAGCTGGTGCTTTGCTCCTAAAACTCTAAACGAGACATTAATTGAATGGAAAAGAACTGGCAATTTCCCCCTCATTTTAATCTGTTTCCCTGAAGTGCTCATGATTTTTTAAATTAGCGCTCATGAAGTTCTCTAGAAAGGCAGCCCTGGCCATACAACAGGTATGGCACTTCTGTTCCTTGATCTCCTACAACCCCATTAATGTATCTCAACCTTGTTCTGGATGGAACTTGATAAATGTAGCCAGCACCTACCTAACACTCCCACTCAGCACTAGTGTTCAGGAGACAGGAATATAACCCACGAGGCATACTGGAGAGGTCGACAAAGGCTTCCCTTGTCAACTGCGCCACGTCTAGACTGCCACACTGTGCCGGATCAGCTGATCGTCAGCAAAGCGCGGCGGCCATTTTTATTTTAATGAAGTGGGGATTATTTAAATCCCTGCTTCATTGACTATGCCGAGTAAACTATTTTACATGACTCCATCGACGGAGCCATGTAGTCTAGACGTACCCCTAGTGTTGGTATTTCTTTCCTCCCCAGTCCATCTATCCAAACTCTTGCAATGAACTGCATCAGCAAGCAGTGTGGGGAAGAGGGGTGTGTGTGTGTTCCCAACAAAGTCTCCTGATTCTAGCCCACCTGCCTTTGATTCATAAGCTTTATTTCCTCCTCTTTTCTTTCTGTGAGGGTTTGTTGTTTGATTTTCTTTGGTATCCCATTTGAGATATAGCCACCACATGGAAAACATTAGATGCATTCAAATATTACTTCAGCCCTGTTCTTCAGCGCTGTACCCATTGTGATCTGATCACCTTTGGCTTTATTTTAACTTGACATTTGCAAAATGCAAACTTTTTTAGCATATGGTAGAAACCAGTTAAAGTTTTGCTCTGAAAATAAGTGGCAGAAATGAGATGTGGCTGTCATCCTGGCTTTAAATTGAAATGTTTCATACATAATAGCTCATCTAGGAATAAACTGGTCTTCTTTGCTAACATCATAAAATGCAGACCACCCCGAGGGCATGAGGGAATTTCATTCCAAAACTTACACTGTCACAAACTGAAGTTGAATGTTGAATGTTAAAATGTTAAAAATATCCTATTACATTTTTTTTCCCTTCTATTTATCATATTTTATATTTTCCCAGTTCCCTCTTCTTTTCTTCATAGGGATATTGGCATGAAAATGGGATCTTTGTTTTGAGAGAGTTAATCCGCTCATGATTTCTTGTTCATATGGGTCCTGAGGTTCCCCACCTGTGGAAAAATCCGTGGGCGCAGAAAAATAGTTGCCATGTTGGTATCATATGTGTATCTCATAGGGGAGGGATTTGTGGTCTCCCTGAGAGGCAGCCTGTAAACATTGTGGTATCTGAGAATCCATGGAGAGGACAAAGCATGAACTATGAATCCCAGTTAACCTCCAACAATAGCTTTCCCTTCCGTATTGCCCTCTGGGGCTCCCTCTCCCCTGTCAGCTGGACTTCCTGGAGACATGCTTCTATTGACAGCTCTAAGGGTGTGTCTACACAGCAAAGTTATTTCAGAATAATGGCTGTTATTCTGAAATAACTACGCGAACGTCTACACAGCAATTCTGTTATTTCAAAATAATTTTGAAATATCGGACGGCTTATTCTGACTTCTGTAAACCTTGTCAATGAAGAATAATGCCTATTCTGAAATAGCTACAGCCTTTCTCCGACTTATAAACCGGTTACGGTTATAAACCGGGCCAAGCAATTGGTCGTAACTCAGTTTTTTCGTAAGTCGGACCCCATAGAGTTACACGTGACCACGCTGTTCATAAGCACGTATCACATTCGTAACTCGGGGTCCGCCTTTTACGACAGCTGCGGTCATAACTGCGAATGGTTGTAAGTCGACTGTTTGCAACTCAGGGACTGGCTATATTTCAAAATAAGGTGTGCGTAGATGCTCCTCTACTGCTATTTTGAAATAGCCTCTTACCAGAGCCATTCTAAGTTATTCCTCCTGGGGCTCTAAATCAAGATAGCACGTCTACATTAGGGGAGCCTGCCT